TGGTCTTATGAGTGTAGTTCAGTTGCTTTTATTGCACAATTCCGTCTGGATTTTCCTGGAGAACGTATTCTCTTTACTAAGATCATATATTAACCGAAATTCAGGAGCTTGCTCAGGTGATCTTTTCCCTTCAGGCGATGATTGCAGTGTTTCTAAATTAGTTCAGTATAAGATATGAAGGAATTATTCTGAACATAGTGTTGTATATTTTAATGAATATTAGTATTTATTTATGTATATATAATGTAGGTCTTTGTATATACTTTTGCATTTTTATGAAATTGTTTATTTACTTTTTATTTAACTAGCGCATTTTAGCGGTAATTTCATGAATATTTAATGTGTATTTTCGTTTAATTTTGAATTTGTGGTCAGTCAGTATATTTGCATGAGTTTATTTCGTATATTATGTTGTGCAATTTTAAAATTTAGTTCATATTAAATGGTACAGATAGCTCAAGTAGGACTAGAAATAGAGGCACACAAGTTTCTATCGGGCTTAAGCGACTTGGCTATCGCCACGTTGGTAACATTTGGTGATTTCTTGCAAAGCTGCTGCCATTCTGGATGTTTTCGAAACATTAGGAACTATTTTCTCAAGTCTTCCTGAAATGCTTAAGCTGTCGTTTAGCAACCCTATAAATAGAATGCTGTGATAGACCTTGATTTCGCTGAATCAAGATTCTTGTCTGTTTTACATTATGGAGCTTCCTGTTTGGTAATTACTATTTTAGAATTTGCTCTACAGGTGATTTGCTCGATCTATGATATTCCTGATGTGTTTGCGGACTTTGTCTAACGTTCTTTTTTTTATAATTTATTTAAAGTTGTTTTATCTAACCTATAAAAATTGTTATCATTTTCGATAAAACCTTCTTTTTATCTGGAATAATTATTTAAGATATCTGCAAAGCTATAGCAAGGCTCACGCTGTTTGAATATATTTTTCATGTATCCGAGAGTTAAAGCTTTCCTTTATAGTACACTGTGATGAAGGTGCAAATATCAGCTTGATTTCTCATTAATTTCCGAGGTAATTTCGTCATCTTTTTCTTTAACGTATGACGAGAGATCCGTATCTTTGACCTTCCGGTTTGGTTAAAAAATTGTGTCCAAGCTGAATAGGGAAACATTCTAATTTAAGCTTTTTATGATTTTATAATGTTAGAATTCTTATTTGAAAAGACACGCAACCTGCTGCAATAGCCATTCGTGAATCTGTGAATGCAGTTTGTTTAAAATGAATAAATGAATATTAAAAACTTATAAGGTATTTTTTTCCTCCTTACCGCATGCCTTCGTGTTGTAATTGTAAGCATACTCGACGTGTATCCGAGATGCTCAGGGTCTCGGGGAGAGCATTGCACATTTTTCACATCTCTATCACAGAAAACCTAGTGACTCTAAAGTGGCGCTCGAACTAAAAGGCGGTAGACAATAATTACTAACTGCCAAGGTGTGGCGACGAGGTCCCCTAATCACCACTCTCTCTTTAAAAGGGGGAGTACATAAGGTATTTTCTCCCTCCTTTCCACATGCGTGGAACTTTCCATTTCGTGGTGTAATTGGAAGCACACTCGACCGCGTATTCGAGAGCGACGAGTCTCGATGAGGATACTGCACATTTTTCATGTCTCCTGTTTCAAAAAATCTTATTGATTCTACAAACTAATATTCAAAAATACCAACGAAAATATTGTAAATTCAACATAAAATGCTTTTTTTTTTTTGTATAAAAACTGATTAATATCAATTACTACGTGAAGGGGACTGATTTGTATAGTTTTTATTTCAACGAAAGCGTAACATGCTGTTATGTGCCATGTACTGCAAACCGACATTTTGGAAATGTTTTTTTCATTTTGCATTGAAGAAGTGAGAAAAATGTTAATGAATTAAAAGTTCAAAATGAGATTGTAATTAATCAGAGACTTCACAGATGTTCTACTTATCACCCGAATAACAAATGTATTCATTAGAGATAGAATATGTGTGAACTAGTGCATTAGATGGTTATTTCCTAATGGAAGCACGCCAAAAAATATACAGACCGATTTTTCATCCTAATGGTTGCTTTGTCGTTTTAACTAAATGGTAATGGAAGGGGAAATATTAAAAAAACGTTATTAATTACTTGCTTTAACTATGTCCTGAAGAGGTAAACGGTTAAACGAGGTTAAAATAAAAAGAAAGTTTGCGTTAAATATGCCATCATAAATGGCAACTGTCTTTTTATCTTTCTTCTAAATTTACTATTTTAAAAACTTTAATAACTTTAAGCAATAAAATTAGCAAATTTCTGTAGGTATTAGTTTTATTACTGAAGTTACCAATTAATAATTTTATTTAAGAAGTCCTGACGGTTTGGGAATGTCACGTAGTGAAAATCTTAAGAAACAACATAATTAAAAGCCTTTATTTTTTTCTGTGAACTCTGCGTGTTTAGGAAATAAGAACTCCTTATCAAAGTGTAATGCAGTTAAAGTTAGAATTCGACAATGTGGAATTAATGAGATTAAGGAGGCATTTACTTTGGGATTTGCTGTTTTAATTGGTGTTCCGAGACAGAAAAATCGATAATCTTTACAAATGAGAACAGGATCCAAAGTGACAGTTCTAATCGAGTTATATTTTCTCTCACGGTTTCTAGAAAGAGTATTTAGTAATTATGATCATCATTATAATGTTTTGAATGTTTTATTAGAAATTAATGAGTTCGTTATTTTTTTTATTTTGAATACTCTAGAAAATTGGATTTTTATTCAACTTCAACTTTAATTTTCAAATACGTATAGCAAACGATAATTGTATAAAAATAATGTGGACTTTTTTAAAGAAGGAGAGCTTGATTTGCTAAACAAATAGGAAAATGAAATAGTTATGCTAAAAGAGGAATAAAGTAATATTTAAAAAAGTAGAATAGTAAAATATATTCCTTTGAAGCAATATTTAACGTTTAATTCCCAGTTCTGAATTTATTTATCGATATTTTTATTCGAAGGGTTCAAGGAATTCGAGATTTAAAAGATTCGTGTGCTTTTGGTAGAGGCGGAGTTATTTTTGAATTTTCTCTAATCCGTATTTTAAACACGAAACACTCAAAACTTTCAAATCCTTCTTAAATTCGGAATCGGGTGTCGAAACGGTTTTTCGAAGCTTTCAAACCTTTAATCTCAAATCCATATAAATTTTTATTTAAGAATAAAAAGAAAAAAGAAAAAATATTTAAAATTAAATTTGTGTAATCAAATCAAAATTTTAAATATGCATTTGAGGAAATAAAATTCGAGAATACAACTTTTAATATTCATGTACATTTCTTAAAAATAGTCAAGCCAAATTTAGTAAATTAAGTTCAGGATTAAAATTCCTTAATATTCAGGTTCAAGCTTTTAGAGTAATTTGACTAAAATTGTAATTTGAGTAACAGTTTGAAATCTTTGAAATTTCCTAGAATCCTTTTTCATCAAGGAAAGAGTAAGGAAAAAAGTCGTATTTCAAATTTAAAATAAGTAATCATAAGACACGGAGCTCTCTCCATAAAAATGTGAAAACAAATCCCAACCTTGTTCATTTTAAAAGTTTAGAAATTCATACATGCAGTATGGCACTTAGGGATGCCGTGAGATAATACTGATGATCTATAAATATGTAGCCCAAAAAACGCCGAAATTATATGCTTGCGAAAAATTATCTTATCTTTAGTGTGTGTGTATTGAGAATACGGCAAAGCACGCTAGGGCTATCTGCCTAAGGGGAGGGATGCTTTCTTGTGGGACTTTCTAAGGGAACCTGGCTCGTATACACGTTACACATGGGGAAAACCACGAAAACGCCCATGCAGCCAGCCCGTTCGCGGGATTTTAACCTCGGACCGAACTACCAGTGTTCAGCGATTTTACCGCTCGGCCGCTGGTGGGCTATCTTTAGAAAATGGAAAATGTTTATCATACTTACAACATTGTGGTCGGTGCTTGCTAGGTGTTTAAACGGACCCTCTTTCCAATACTTACAACAGATAAATATTCCGATTTAAGAATATTTAGCTTGATTTGATCTGGCATGTTTTCACTGTCAGTTTATTTCAAAGACTCATTGCAGCTTTGTCGGAGAGCTACGCAAGGAAATAGCGAGTTTTGATTGTGAAAACGCATTAGAAGAGTGTAGGAACATTCATGTAATCTTTTGACGTGAAACTGCACTAATAGAACAATAAATCTTTGATCGATGAAGAAAGTTGAGTATACAACTTCGACAGCAGATATGTAATCATCATGCTCTCAATTCAGCTGGCTTGCTGAAAATATCGCTGTTGTGCATGATGCAATTCGTAAAGAACTCCAACGTAAAGAATAAAAATAAAAGAAGTTAAGGAACAGACTGAACTTACATTAATTATCTCGATAAGGAAATACATGATAAAGTGATAGCCGGAGAGATTTGTGAGAAATTTTATCCAGAGATTAAGGGGCGGTAAAACAAATCGTAGAAGACATATGCCATATAATATTTTTCAGTCTTAAATCAGAACATTTATTTGTTGTAAGTATGTAAAAATGTTTTCCATTTTCTAAAAAATTAAGTATTTTACTGAGCATATTGATTCCTTTGCTTTACTTAGGACTCTTCACCAATGAAATTACAACAACAGTGCTCTTTTTTTCTCATTGAACATGAACATTTCAGCTGGATGTGAAAAAAACCTAAGCTCGAAGATTCAAATTTTGAAATTATGAAGTTTGAATTTTTAAGTTTTGTAACGTAGGATTCGAAAGAAGCGAATGGAAAACGTGTACGATGATTCGAATTTTCAGATATTTAATATCTTTTAAGGGCTTACGAATCCATAGATTCGAATGTCTTATCCGCACTTCTGGGCTTCATATTTGAGAAAATTTAATTATACCTTATGTCTAATTTAAACGAATTGTTTCTAAAACGTTTCAAAGTCATATATCAGGAGCTTTGTTTCTAAACTCGTATTTTTCTTCTGGTTGTAGGGCGAAGGAAGAGGCGTCGGAACAGCGACCGCAGTTGCTGTGCCCTCTTTGTCAGGTGACTGACCTTGCCACCGAGACAAACAAGATGTGTGGAGACTGCGGGAAGAACTTTTGCCAGAAGTGTGGCACTTTCGTGCCTGGTGAAGGAAGGGTAAGTACCCTACTTTTCAGTACTCTGCCGTATCATAAATAAATATCGTAAGGAGTATATAATTGCTACTGAAATCTGATCTCTTATAGAAAGGGATGAAAATAATCTCTTTTGGATTAAAAAGCTCTAACGTGTGAACAATGAATTAAAACAAAAGACTTTTACATTAAACATGGAGTCTCAGCTCTTATTTGTTAAGATATTGGAGCCATTCAGAAAAAAATGTTCAATAGACATTGAAACATGCCGCACACCAAATACAGTAGAAGTGGTTTCGTAAAAATCCTTGTATGATTCTTCGTCTCTTTCTCATTAACGTCCAAATTCACCTTGCAACCTATTACCTATTTTTATATGTTATCTTTGCTAAATGAGCTCTTTCACTTCTGTGACTACTCCATCAGTAATGCACTCTGGGTGCACCACATCGTTTATCGTCTGTGAATGATAACTCAAATTATGCTCAATATTACATTTTGTAAAATTCGATGAGGAACTTACTAAAAAATTTAAAAATTATCTTATCTCATTTTTTTCAATAGGGCCAAGAATAATTCATTAAATGAAATTCTTAATTTATAGAAACCTATTTTCTTTTCCTTTTTTCACTGACTAAAGCGTATTTGCATTATTATGGCTTATAACAAATATACCAAATTTGGAAACGCGTCAGGATATAAATTCCCACAGATCTTTGAGAATTTTGTATAAAATAATTTTTTGCAAGTGTACCTAGAAATGCATCTACTTTAAAATGATGGTAAAATTTGATAGGTTATAATTCAAATTGGTTATAATTCAAAACAATTTCGAAAATTTTTTAAAAATTACTAAAAAATACAAACTTAAAAAAGAAAGAAAATAGCTGACACTTTTCTTTGAATTGAACCTAAATTTCGATATGTGAAAGAAGGAATCAAGTAAGTTGAATAAAAAAAATGAGAGATTAATAAATATATACCAAATTTAATTAACACTAGTGGAGCTAAAATTTTGAGAGCTAGTTTTTTTTAAATTTATTTATTTATTTTTTTTATTTGAAAACTACTTATGCGAGTTTTACAAAGCTTGGCACTTTGGCATAATTAAGTTGTAGAATCGAAATATGGGAAAATTTTGATATGTCATTTCAGAAAAAGTCCGTTTTTGTGTCAGAATACCTCTGTTAGAACAATTTCTTTGTATAAATTTAATTTATATCTTAAGTCGCACTTTTGAGACATGGTAAACAGAAGTTAAATTTCGTCGATTTGCTCAGCAGAATAGGAGATAAATCACTGTCTCATTTTTTAGTGCCCACCAGCGGCCGAGCGGTAAAGTCGCTGAACACTGGTAGTTCGGTCCGAGGTTCGAATCCCGCGAACGGGCTGGCTGCATGGGCATTTTCGTGGTTTTCCCCATGTGTAACGTGTATACGAGCCAGTTTCCCTTAGAAAGTCCTCCACGAAGGCATCCATCGTCTTAGGCAGATAGCCCTCGAGGCTTTGCCATAATCACACACACACATTTTTTAGTACATAGTTAAGGGAATTAATGCCTTCCGTCCAAAAATTCCATAGTGAGGTTTCTTATAAACAATTAATGTTCAAATCCAATACCGTTGCATCACGAATGTTCCAATAATCAAAATCCAATTAAATAAATAATATGCTATTCAATTGCCAAATAAAATATATATTTTTAATCAAAAGAAATAAGGAAGCAAAAATTTGAGTATGCTGATATAAGTTAAACCAGTTTTTACACATGACTAATTATACCTAAAATATAATGCAAAATTTCGTATTATCGACTTATTCATTTATTAGAATTATAAATTAGCTTTTGTTTACAACCGATCAACCAGAAATGATGCGTTACTTAACCTTTTTTTTTTTACTTCACTGTACGAAGTAAAAAGGAAGTGTCGAAAAGTTTCAGGCAGCATATTTCAACGAAAATATCAATTTTGACTGCAATCGAATCCAATTTAACGATGGTTTTGCGTGATATCTGTACATAAGGACAAAATAAAATACTCTTTTCCTTAAAAAAAAATATAAAACTGCTTTAAAAATGATTTCTGAAGAGTATTTTTCGTGGCGTCTGTACGAACGTATGTACGTACGTTCGTACGTACGTACGTATCAGCATAACTCAAAAACGAGTAGCCTCAGAATGTTGAAATTTTGTATATAGGACTGCTATAACATGTACATGTTCACCTCGTATTTTGGTTGCAATCGGCCGCACCAAACGTATATTAATATATTTATATAAATATCCACTCTGTTATCCGGCTCAATAATCTCAGTTTCTTTACTCTAATATGTTTGTAAATTGTACATTTTTTGCTTTAAAAATGATTGAATTATGTTTTTCTTATCTTCCGGTTAAGATATTTATGCCTTTAGTAAATATCTATGCATTATTTTTAGTTTGGTTTGGTTTATTTAATTACGGCAAAGCACACGAGGGCTATCTGCCTAAGGGGATGGATGCCTTCGTGGAGGACTTTCTAAGGGAAACTGGCTCGTATACACGTTACACATGGGGAAAAACCACGAAAACGCCCATGCAGCCAGCCCGTTCGCGGGATTCGAACCTCGGACCAAACTACCAGTGTTCAGCGACTTTACCGCTCGGCCGCTGGTGGGCTTCGCAATATTTTTAGAATTATCAACAATTTTAAAGTTGTTTAAGTGCCGCTAAGCCTACTACTTCTCTTGATGGCAGCCATTGTTTGTTTACATTTGAAACAGAAGGATAGTGGATTTGTTGCCAATCTAGAGAAACTTAGCTTTGCAACAACAAAGATAATGCCTTCATTTATTATTGCCAATTAAATCATGCTTAATCCTTTCTGGAATTTATTCGAGGAAATAAGTGTTTAAGATTTACTTCGTAATTTTTAATATAGATATTTTGAGTTTTTACGTATTTTTGCCTTCTCGCGAAGTGGGAACTGAATTAATTGAATGAGAAATACACAATTGTCGGTAAAAAACTGTTTCTTTTCTGTTTTGGTTGCTTAATTTCTTTTATAAATCATTCTAGCTTTATTATAGTATTTGAATAGAACATGTGGCAACGATTAGATAATTCTATTCTTTAAATGATATAAATTTTGTCATTCTGAGTTATAATATGAACGAAATATAATATTGTTATGTGAACCTAGCGCCAGAGTGTCGCTATGGTAAACAAGGTGAATTTTAGAGAATGCATTTATTCTATTGTGGTTTATGCGCTGTCGGCGAAGTAGATTTAATTCAATCCAATAAGTTTAAATGAAATGGAAGAAAAAATGCGTATAATTTAATATTCCGTATAAGGAACTCATGTGGTGTACACATCAGATTTTTTTATTTAAAACGTGGATTTCGGTCGGAAAGTCACGCGTTAGCAACATTAGATTTTTTTAAAACATGTAACTGAGTCTTTTTTACGATATATAAATGGCGATACAAGTTAACATCTGCTGTTTGTGAAGGTATCATTTTCATATTTTTCACTTGGTTCATTGAACTCGCAAGAGGAATTAGTTCTGTTGAAATTTTAATATATTATTAACAATTGCATTTGCTTATATTTATCAAATGTTTTCCTATAAAGCCCCAGCAGTGGTGAATTTTGGAAGTTCGATCCAGATTCGTGTGTGTGTGATTATGGCAAAGCCTCGAGGGCTATCTGCCTAAGAGGAGGGATGCCTTCTGGATGACTTTCTAAGGGAAACTGGCTCGTATACACGTTACACATGAAGAAAACCGTCGACCCAGATTCGATACCAGTGAAAGATGCGTGGTTGGCTTTCGTGTGTTTTACCACGTGTAATCTCAATATGAGACAGTTTCCCTTAGACGTTCTTCCCTGCAAGCATTCCTCCTCGAAAGAATATAACGGTTGTGTGCTTCACTAATATCCAATAATTAGCTCTTTCGTAAAAAGGAAGGAATAAGCAAATCACAATCATAGTTCGTTTGATGACAATACCACTATAAACAATCAGAGAATCCTCGCCTCCTTCGGTATTGTCGTAGCAGTGTTTACTGTAGAAATCTTTAGCTTTTAATTAAAAAATACTCAGTTTCAATTTGGGTTCCATCATAAAAATGCTTTTAAAGTAATTATACATTCAGATAAGAAAATCTTACAAAATAGAAATAGTTAATTAAGTTTCTAATGAATAAATTATATACTTAATTATTTTGTTCTCAGTTTTAATTCGAACTAAGGAGAAAGTGCAGGTTTATGTAAGATGACAAAAGCCCATACCTCATTACCTTTCCAAAAGGAATATAAGATTAAACTTTGAAAGTCTTCTGGAAGTTGAGTTTTGCAGAGGATAAGAAGTGTCGTTTAAGATTTGAAGAGGTGGAATAACTTACTGGAATAGTGAAGTCATGGAAGAAAATGTTTTTGAATTCACTGTGCTGCAGTTTGACATGTAATTGCTGTTCTAGTTTTATACAACCAGATTAAAGTGGAATTTCTATAGACAACAGAAGGAGTGTTTTTTGATTTTGTTAAAGGAAACAGAAAACACTCAGTGTCTAGACATGCTAGTATAATTTATCTCGGAAATTTAATGCTCGAAAAAAGCCCTATTAGAATTAATACTTTCGTAAAATTTAATTCTCTTTTTTTGTAGTTTTATTTCACTTTTGGGATCAACAGTTTATTGTGAAGCAGGAAACATGGAAAACAAGCAGTGTCCTTGCCGGAAGTTGAACCTGGACCTCTCAAATAAGCGCCTATTGTGCTACCATTACATCACAATAAATTCAATTCATCACAATTTACATTCCTAAAGGCATATGAAAAGGAGAGAGAAGATACCTTATGAACTCCCCCTTTTAGAGGGTGACTGGGGATTAGGGAACCCTATTGCCAAATCCTGGTGGTGACGAATTATTGTCCGCAACCTTTTAGTTAGGGCGCCACTGTAGAGTTATAAGATTATTTTAATGAAGAAGACGGGAAAGAATGTGCAATGCCCTTGCCGGGACTCGAAACTGGAG